TAAGTGTAAGTCCCTGATTTCCAGGGACTATAATTCTACTAGAATAAAATTTTTCTCAATAAATTTGGAAAAAGATTTTATGAGACTGGTGTTTGAAATTATTTTGCTCACTAAAATATTTTCACTTAATGAAAAATAGCTATGGGAAAATTTAAATTTTCACTATTCTATTTTGTGCAACAATTTTCAGACAATTAAGAATAGAAAGAGTAAAACTTAGTCATTTGTTTCCTTCTTATATTTTGGAAAAAATAAAGCTTGTTTGAGTGACTGTAAAATTTTATTTAGCTTTTTTCTTCTTTTGAGACTTTTTCTAGATGCAAGCTTATTAACAAATTATTAGAAGCTAAAAAGAAAATGTATGCTTTGCCTAATCAGGTTTTATTTAAAGTAATGTACTAATAATTACATACATAATTAAAGCTTATACTTTAATCATCTCAGCCTTTTTTCTTGACTATTTTATCTATAATTGAGAAATATACTTAAGAATCTCAAACTTTGAACTATTTCCATTTATAAAATATATGTTCTTTCAATGTATTTTAAAATTAAAAGCTCATTAGAAATGTTGATTATAAAATTCATAGATTTATTGTAACTTGGAAACCAGAAATAATATAATTAAGGAAAATTTGGTAATTTTAATATTAAAACTCTAAAAAAGTATCTTTTTATTTTATAGATGAGAAATTTGTGATTAGCAAATGTTAAATAATATGTTTAAGATCATTAGGCTGATCCTACAAGTACTCTTAGATCCCTGACCCTGTGCTACAGCACATTTTTCTTTCCTATTTTTTACTGTACAGAATAAGTAAGAATGTTTCCTTATGAATTATGAACTATTCCAGCTAAGTAACAGAAACTACCAATAAACTCTGTCATAAACTGACACCCTCAGTAATGGTAGGTATTATTGCTGTTTCAGCAGTTTGGGCTTTTTTTCTTTCCTTTTAGTAACTTCCAGTCTCCTGATCCATTATTCAGGTATGTACTGCTGACAGTTTTTATGATCTGTGCTATTTGGGAGGAAAGTGTCTAAGTACAGCAGAAAAGCAGTAGAAGAGCTTAGGATGCATTTGACATTTCACTGCTGGGTTTGTTTTGAGATCAAGGTTACTGGTCCTCTTCTAAGCTCAATCTACCCATCAAGGGCTATCAATCTGCATTATTGTCTGTCTGACAAGGGTAATATATATAGTCTTAGTTCCAGCTTGCTCTCTGTTCACTGAAAAGATGATATATGAAATATTTTCCTGTATCCTCAGACAATATATTTACAAATTTCATTATTATTTATTTAAGTAATTCTAGACATTTTGTTTGGTATTTCCTGCAAAGTTGAGATTTTGAAACCTTTTCTATTCTCATCTTTATGGTGATAGTAACAATTCATTTCCCTACAGTAACAAAAACCCACAAATTATTATAAAATTCCACTGCTCTACCTAGATAACACTCAAACACAAATTTTAACTAGTATGTCAAATAAAAATTCACAGTGAATAATTTGTTTGTCCAAATCATAACTTTTCTAGAATTTTCTGGCCAAACCTGTTCTTGAAGTTCCCATTCTGCTTGGCTGTAAATGATATATTTTAGCTTTTTGAAAGGAAATGATGTCAGTCATATGAAAAGCCACTCTTCACTGGGAAAGCATTGGCCAACAGGCATTCTCTGCTGACAACTCTGATTCTCTCTTTCCATTTGCTACAGGATCCTCATGGCACAGCCATGGGAAATCTACAATTACTTTCTTGCCTTTATGTGCGGCATAAAGAAAGTGACCAACGGTTTTGAAGAAATTTCTGTAACTCTCCAAGCTTCTCTGCTGCACACCTCTCTCGTCATAAGTGAGTAATCTGATTCTATTCTCGGTCAGTATTTTCCTCGATTGGCTCATGTTCCTCAGATCTGCTGTTAGGAAATAGGTCCAAATCCTTTGTAGTCTTCATTTTCCCTGAATTTTGGGGGAGTTTGAATACCAATTCCCTGTTAACCAAAGGGGAAAATGTATGATTCTTTTTCTTGGATGTGATAAGCTATAAGTCTTTCTAACAGTTTTCTTGTTGGCCTCCATCTCCCATATAGAAGAACTTATACAGCTTTCCAGCCTACAGAATGTAAGAATGAAGTATTCTTTATTTTTCAACTTTATTATTTAGGGTAGGTTGTTACTGACAGATATTCATAAAGTACTTTTTCTCACCATTAATTGTTATGAACTAGATTGTGTTATTTCAAAATTCGTGTGTTAAAGTCTTTATCCTTAAAATCCTAAATATGTGATCATATTTAAAGAAGCTTTTAAATAGCTAATAAAAATTACAAGAGATCATTTGGATGGACCCTAATCTAACTTGAGTGGTATACACTCATGGAAAGACCTTGAGAAGGAACACAGAGGAGACAGCCATCTGCAGGCCAACAAAACTTGCAATAACTGTATCCTGCAGAAAACTGTGATAACACGTTTGTTTTCTTCAAGCTATGCAGTCTGTGATTTTTTATGTTGTCCTTGGCACCGATATTTGAGTCTTCAGTGTCCTGAGTTTATTTTGAGTCCAAAGCATGAAGCTTTGCTTGGTCCGTTCTTCATATATGTGATATTTAATTCCTTATCCTCCAGGAATCAGTAGGAGGAACGAAGGGAACACATACAAATTTCATTTATTATTTTGATATCTAACTGTTTATGTACAATGAAATCATTACAAGTACAGATTTGCAATTGAATGCCAGTCTAAAACATTAAATCAATTTTTGATTTTAGGAAGAAGTATTTCACTTTAAAGGACTATATTTGTAAATGTTTCACTAATTTAGCACACTTAAATTAGCAGTAAAAAAATCTATAGATACTGAATAAAATTTACTAATAATTTACCCAATTCCACCTAACTAATATTACAAAACAACACACAGAGAAAAGAAGTAATTGCTCAAAGTAAAAAAAAAATATGGATTTGTGGAAAAGAGAAAAAAAATAGCCCAGATCACATAAGTATGCATACCATCCTACTTTTAGCATAGAAATGAATTAGGATAATAGGAGATATAGTATTTGCACGCAGCTAGAAAAAATCAGAAAAAATGAAGCATCTATGGAACATAAAGCCTTAGCAAAATAAATGGAGCCAAAAGGTAGCTACCTAGATCTTGGAAGAAGCTTTCATACATTATAAGGCATGTTCAATATTCCTCAGTGAGTATTTCTTTCCTGTTCCCTCCTGATTTCTAACTTCAAGTCTCCTGTCCTCATATGATGAATATCTTCTCAAAGAACCTATATATGATAACTTCAACAAACTGTATCTGGCTAGTATAGTTCATGGTCTGATCGCTTTGAAATAGGCTTGCTGATTCATGGTACAAAATACTATGCACTGGATAATAGCTTTAGCATTCAAACTAAGGTTTTGATTTTTAAATTTGTAGGCACAGAATAATAAGGCAAGTTAAGTATAAAATCGGCCTTGTAACTTGAAAAGGAATCACAGCCATTAAGCAATGACAGGTATTAGTTGAATAGTCGAAGCATCTTGAAAAGCAGGGTTTAAAAAGTCATGTATCATTAGCATGGAGGCAATGCCTACTGTGTCAAGCAGGAGCATTTGCAGAGAACGAGACACCGCTGATCAAAACCAAGAAAAATGTTTCAAATGGCAAAGTTGATTTTTAAATGTTTTTGAGAGAAATACTTTTCTTTCATTTTATGTTTGATTTAATGATACTCCTAACTGTGGTTATCTCCAAGAAAACAGAAGAAAAATGACTATCAGTCTAAATGGATAGCAATAAATAGCAAAGTGAGAAAACAGGCTTCTGTGTGTTTGTGGTTGTGTATGTGATCAAACAATAGGAACAATAGATTAGAGAATAATTTTTAAAGTCAAAATTGTCTAAGAAATAGCAGTAATTTATTTTTACTAAAAATAAAATTCTTTCTTATTGTATAAAGGCTATTTAATCTAATGATAATGCAAATTTTTGATTTTTTTGTTATCACTGAGAATTATCACAAGTGCAAAACAATGGCTATACCAATAGTGTAGACTCATTTTTACAATCTAACGAAGCTTGAAGCAGTCATGTAAAGTTTTTCTATTAATGCAATTAATGAAGAATGTCTAATAGGGAGAGACTACATTTTTAGTAAGAAACCATTTGTAAATGGATTTGTAAAATTTACTGAACCTCGAGTAAAAAAAAATGAAACAAAAGACAAACCTTTGTTTGAAAAAAAATGAGTTCTAAAAACAGCTGAACTGAATCAGTTAGCTTTTCTTTTCAAACTGTGAAATCAAATTTTCTCAGGGTAGGAAGAGATTATATTCTCCACTACTTAGAAAGAATGGGTGTTCTTAAGTGCCAAGGTTGAAATGCTGCTAGAAATAGAATATTCTCTCAAAGACCCCATTAGTCCTCTTCAAGAAGCAAGTGAAAAAGTACAATCAGATGCTAGGGGTGTAGCTCAGCAGTACAGCATTTTCTTGCCATGCATGAGGCCCTGGAAATCTGACTGTAAGAAAGGACAGAAAAGAAATGGAATGGAAAAGAAAGGAAAGAAATTGTCAATAAAAGCTTCTCTTCTGTGAAGAAAATATGGATTAAAAACTACACTAAGTGTAGCTTTGATTATGCCCAGTTTTTATTAGTGGTGGTTCATTTATAATATAAAAATATATGATACGCAAATCTGAAGTTCAGTTGAACAACAAATCAATTCTTTGCAGTATTTTGTGTCATACACTATTTGGAAATTATTTATATTTATGTTGGTTAATCTTGGTTGTCAACCTGATTAGATGGAGAGATGCCTAAAACATTAGTAAAGCACACTTTTGAACGTGTCGATGAAGGTGTTTCTAGAAATCACCGGCATGTGGTCAGCAAACTGTGGGGCTGACCCATCCCGCATGTCAGTGAGACCATCTATTGGATGGGAACAAAAAACAGAAGAAGAGAAAAACATGAATATAAAAAATTTAGTCTTTTTAAGCAGTTGTTTTTGTTTGTTTGTTTGTTTTCATGTGTGATTTTTCTGTTCTGCTCTTGCCTAAGGACGTCAGGTTCGAGATTCCTCAGCCATCGCACACGGCTTGCACCGGTTCTCTCCAGGTAGCTTCCTGGCCTTTAGCCTTGGACCGGGCTGCATCAGTCTTCACTCTTAATTTCAGGCTTCTGGCTGCTTGGACTGATCCTGGCGATGGTCATTTTGGTATGATAAAATCACTGACTGTGTAAGCCAAAAGAAAGAAAAAGTCTCCTTTTATCATCATCTGTATATTCTATTGGTTCTGGTCCACTAGGGACCCTTCAGTGGTATAATATTTTAACGGAATTTTTAATCTGAAATTCAAATTTAACTTGGTTTCCTGTATTTTATCTAGCAAATTATTATTAATAGATAACACAGAGAGACTTGGCTCCAGTGATACACTGGTTGTTGTTGTTGCTGTTATCTGCTTTGAAGCATAATTTGATTGGATGTTTTCTTTATTGAGTAAGTTTTCTGGCTTGGAACATTCTTGAGGATTCAATGACATATTTAGGTGTCCTTTATTAAAAGAAAATTGCAGCCTACTGGACCTCTAGGGAGTCACCTACATTTAGAAAAGCAATCATTAAAACACCCAAGGAAATTGGATACGTAGAAGCTTTATGGTACTATGTCAACTATTTTATAAAAGAAATATGTACAACTCTTTTGCACGGGTGTTACAAAGTGGATCACAGGAGGAAAACACTAATATTCCAATTCTAAAATTATTTCAAAAATCAAGTTCTCCTACAACCTTACTATTTGATTCCCTAGGATTGTTTCTTACCATGAAAATGTTAGTTCTTTTATTTTCACATCTCTCCTGTGGAAACATACATACTCTTTCAATTTTTAAAGTTTAATCAATAAGAATGTTAATTTTGATATAATGTAAATTGATATACAAATATTTATAAAGGGAATTTAATAGAATTTAATTTTAATACTAGCTGTCTTTTACAAGTAAAAAAGATGCTGTGAGCCTTTCTATGGATTTTTGCAAAGAATTATGTGGATAGGCAACTAAGAATTACAAGGAATATAGAAATAGAGTCGATGTACATTAGAAAATGTGTAGTCAATCACAGATAACTATTATACAAGTCACTAACGAAAAGCCCCCTATGAGTAATTGCTTTTAATAATTAAAATATAATACTCGTGGCAAATATTTAGGGTGCTTTGGCCTTAAACGTTAATAAATCAGTGAGAGTTATGCCTTCTGTTTCAGCCATAACAATTTGGAGAGACAAGGCCAGTAAAATTGAGGTACCGCTCTGGTGCATGTGATTCTGGTAGGGGAGGAGACTATAAAGCACACTGCAGTAGGGATGTCACATTCATCTCAGTTTTAAAACATATCGGGAGACTCAAAACCACTCCTTTGAGTCTCCCTGGGAAAGAACATAGAGAGCACGCGCAATGATACACAACAGCTATGAACACTATTTGGACATTAGTCAAAAGCATGGCAAAGCAAGAGACCCTGATTTCTGCAGTGGGACATAGGTAGATGGAAAATAACACTAGTTCCCAGTTTTGATTATTGATCTTCCAAACTGTTTATTTTTTACATGTGCCGACAATAAGTGCTTAGTTTATTTAATATGTTATGGATAGGTTCTTGGGCATGAAATCCCCCATTTCTACAAATTCTGCTTTTCAAATTAGAAAGCATTTTGAACAGACTCTCGGTCATTTGCTCCAAAGATTTATTTCTAGCTATATTACCTATTTTTCCACATAAATATTATGCCACAGGCCAACTGTTCTATTTCATTCTTGAGGGAGAAAGAAAATCTCCCCAAAATTTGGCAGTCACTTTCCCCCTCCTGTACTACTCCAATTTTAATCCTTTCAAGGTCCTTCAGTGACATTTTTTTTACGGGGAACCTAGTTCTGAAAATTTCAGTCTGAAGTGATCTTTCCTTTCTCAGATATTCAATAATGCTATGATTGATAAATTTATAAGATACTGCAGAGGGATGGCTATTTGGAAATTTAAGTCATAACACTTTATGTTTACTTTTACTTGGGAAAAAGAGAAAGAAAGGTTAGCTAAATACGAGAACATTTTTTCCAACTTTTTGCAATCTACTTCAGGTTTAGTGGTTATTAAAATTGATTATGAAAATGATTGGATTTTTGCTTCACTTGTTTTTGTTTCCCTCAATGATGAAGTCATTTTGAGGTAGTGATAAGAACAGTCTTTCTCTTTACTCATCATCTTTTGCCCGCCACAATTTTGTATGATCGCTATACTGTACCTCTGTCATTTTCCTTCTAGCCTTTAAATACCTCAAGCCTGCTTCTCTTTTGAGTCTTCCTCCTTACTTCTCTATTTGTCTTTCCTTATTTTCCACTCCTTCCTTCCTTCTACACTTACATTACATGGATTAGAAGCTACTAGCTAGTCACTATTTCACCCTTAACATCGTGATCTGTGCCCACTGTATGGTAAATGTTTAAAACATATTTGCTGGTGAACTGATAGACTGATTGAATGATGCAAATAATGAAGAAGTTTGTGAAAAATTAGCAAGACCTAACTCTGATTAAACAGCTTCAGGAATAATTGCTTTTCTTGATTATAAACTTGTTTCACACGTTAGGATGGAGTCCGGAAGGCCTATAGGTCAGGGGAATAAAAGGAGAAACCCTATAGTGCAAAGATGACATTTTAAATATTCACCCAACCCCTTTGGCTTTTCTTATAGTAAAATTTTAGAATTGTTACAGTCAGTGGCACAAACTAGACAAAACATAACTGGATTTTGTTAATAATTTGTAAGGTATTTTGTATTGAGTCATCTGGTATTTACAAATAACACATATCTAAATAATTGAAAGAAATTTTCAGAATCTTTAGACTTTAAAATATGACATTCAACATCAAGTTCCTTTAACTTCATATTAGTAGCATATTTCTTTGTCCTACAGCTAAATAATACATCTAGTTCAATGATCAGACATATATTTGGTACATATTCATCTTGTAAATTATTTAGACATTACGAACCATTAAAGACTTTCCTCAATATCAGTTTTGGTGTGTGTTCTCCTCCTCTTCTTCCTCCCCCGCCCCGGTACTTACCCCTTTCCTCTTCCTCTCTAGTATTACTTCTTGAAATTAAAGTGTCAGTTTTACTCCAATGCCTCTCGGATTACTCATCTGCTTTACTCTTTTTATTACAGACTTCTTTCTTTCTGTTCTCCAACAACTGGCTTCTTTATTTTGTTGTCCTCCCATCTTCTGTCCTCTAGAAAATAGATAGCAAAAGTTAAACTAGAAAGTTCAAGGCCTGTGTTCTTGAAAATGTTTGAAGACTTTGCTGCTTAGAGAAATCTTTCAATATGACCGGTTCCTGAATTCCAGTCAGGAAGTCTTAATAATATGGGAGGACATGTTGCTTATTTTTGTTGGATCTCTCAGATGTCTGTGGCTGTACAGGACTTGCTCCTTGTTTTCATATTGTTTTACTACAAAGACTTCCTAAACTGGCTTCATTATAATAGATAAAAATGAACCTGTTGCTTCATTTCCTACCTTTTCACTGTTAGAAAGTTTAGTACCAGATAATTTTCCATGTGTACCCATCTAATTTATTCCATGTTTTGCCAATATTCATCAAGATAACAGATGCTATTTCTCCCTTTCAACAATGATCAAGTTTTGACATATTTTTCTCTATAGTTATTTTATTTTGTCTTTATCATTATAATTAGAATGACTAATATATTCATCTGTATTCAGAAACATATTCAAGTCTTAATAAAAAAGAAATAAAATTCATAGGATCTATTTCTTGTTACTATGACAAATACATGAAATAGTCAATATATAAAGAGAAAAAGTGTATTTTCTCTTATGGTCTCAGAACTTTCAGTCCAAATGATGGCTCTGTTGCATTTGGATTTATGCTGAGCTAGCACATCTTTGAAGGAGCCATTTTTCCATAATTAGGAAGCAAAAGAAGAAGAGAAGTTGGCTGGAGGCTCATGATTCACTTTGAGGACACACCCCCAGTGACCTAAAGACTCCCCACTGGCTATACCTCGTAAATCTTCCACATCCTCCTAATAGCACCACTCTAGTGATCAATCTTTTAAATTTTGGTCATTTGGGGGACATTCAAGGCACAAACTATGGAATAGTCTAGTTCCTCTTAAAGCTACAGCCCTCAAATTTATAATCTCTTTAAATGATAACAAGTTCTCAAGAATACTGATTCAACTTATTTCCATCATTTCATTCTACTCAGGGACTTATGAACATAAAAACTACATTCTCTTTTCCAATCATTCCAAAACCTTTAAAAATGTTCTTCTGAATTTCCAAATCACTAGATTGAAAATAATTTTGAATCATATTTAAACATATTTAATAAAGGGAGGGCAGGGGTAAGGGGAAAAAATGAGAATCAAGACATCATGTAGAGGTACAAGATCCCAACAATGAATGTAACTGTACTGTATCCCTAAAAAGTACCAATAAACTCAATTAAAGCTGAAAAAATATTAAAATATCGAGACAAATCAAAATTGTATCAGAAATATTTGTAATGTAGAATATTTTCTTGAATTTGTTAAAGTGGGTGTTTTAGACAACCTCTTATAAGAGAACTATGTAAAATTTCTTCATTTAAATCTCACTCAATCTCATTTTGTAATAAAAAATATTAATGCAAAGCTAACTGTTATAAATATACATTACATATCAATATTCTCAAACTCTTTTACAGGCCAAATTCAATGGTACATACAAAAGCTGACAAACATACTGATCTATCTATCACATGGTAATAATATTTCTAAAGAAATATATTAAATAATTTTAGTTCTTCCTGGAAGTCTGGCAGTCTTTATAAAATATTTGCCTATTATCTCAATAATGAATTAAAAGAAAAGAAAGACATGATGGGGTCTGCAAACTTCATTATGTTACAAAAAATTGAGGCAGTCCTGGGTAATCATCATGCTTGCCAAAGGAGAGCGAGACAATAGCCCAAAGCAGATAGTTATGTAGCGTTAAACAAGTTTTCCTTCTGTCTTATTTTGTAGCAAAATAAAAATACTGAAATATTCAAAGTTCTGGAAATTTATTTTTGAACGTTAAAAGTGTACAATAAAAGTGACTAACAAACTAAATTTCTGAGAATGCAATTCTCTCTTGCATTGGTATAAGAAAATCCACATTTTTGCTTTCAGCTTTATATGGATAGTTTAGGAGGTTTCTATACAAAAATTAGGAATTTGGACTGGGGATTTAGCTCAGCGGTTCGGTGGCCTGCCTCGCAAGCTCAAGGACTGGAGTTCGATCCCTGGTACAAAAAAACAAAAACCAAAAACCAAAAATTAGGAATTTTCAGGAATTACCTTGGAATCAACGTTTTTTTGCTAATAAATAGATTTCACACGTTTGAAAATTAAAGTGTCTTAGTATATTTTATTTTCTAATAATATGAGAAATTATATGATGTGAAAATGATATACAGGATAACCACTAACATTAAAAATGTAATGAAAATCCCCAGTACCAAAAAAAAAAAGTAATGAATACTATTCAAATAACATTCTACAATGATGAAATAAATACAGTTTGATTTTATTTCATATCTCAAGATTTAATACACAGCAATATTGCTTCATCAGAAACCTACTTGTTTTAAGATACAGCTACAAGACACTTAGTTAATTTTAATTCTCTGTTATTTATAATAGGCCACATTTTAAGAGATATTAGACATTTATTCAACTTCAATTTTTTCAGGTTATATTTTCGGATTATCTCAAAATGTCATCTGAAGCAAAACAGGTTATTGAAGGATTTAAGTACTAAATCCTTAAAAAGCGAAAAACACTGGACAAACAAGGCTTAGTTCATCAACTTCCCCTTCTGTTTGCAAAAGGATCAGTTACACAGGGTGATGCAACCTAAATTTTATCAAATAATTGTAGATGTAGAAGGGCAATACAAGAATGAAATTCTCAAATATTACATTTGAGTTGTACCTATTTACATATCAAATGTATTAATAAATGAAACTCATACAACCAAAATGCAGTTTTATAGTATCACAAGCCTTGTAAAAGCATAAATGAAGTAGTGCTTGAGAGATTACTTTGTAAGCCACAAGATGCTGTGATAACAAAAAATGTTATTAATAGTCTAGGAATGAATACAGCTGAATTAATGGAATAACTTTGAAAGATTTTTGCAATTGTCAATTTCAGTACAGATATACAGTTTGAAAAATATACTTTACAAACTGTTGCTAGAGAATATTACATAAAGATAAAATATGTTTATAATAGAATTTTATTATTAAGAAATACATTTTCTGTTATGTCCTGTTTGTTTGCCTGTACAAAATGTACATCGAAAGATGGTAACTGTTTACAAAATATTTTTTCATCACAATTAAATGAAGTTTAGGTAAAATAAATTAATGTTATTAGCACTGAAAAAGTTTTACTATCAGAGTAGGTTTCTCAAACCTCTTCTTTCGCTCGTCCTCCTTTTTGTTCCTCCTTCCTTCCCTCCTTCCCTTCCTTCCTTTTCTGCTTCCTTTCCTCCCCCTCTTCCTCTCAACTCTTCGTCGCTTGCGATGGTAACAGTTTCCATGGTAACAGTTTCCACCATGTTGTGACGCAACAGGAAGACCCTCACCTGCTGTGGTTCCTCACTGTGGACTTCCCAGCCACCAGAACCTTAAGAAAAAGCTCTGTTCTTTCCAAATTACCCTATCTTTGGTATTATGCAGTAACAGCAGAAACTAAACTAAGACAACAAATAAGGTATAAACATCTTCACAGTTCTGTGTAATTACAATTCATAAATTTATGATCAATGTAGCCAGCATTATTAAGTATATGATCATGAATTATATTTAAATAAATATAATCAAATAGCAATTGAAATAAATACTCTAAAATGCTAAAGCTTCCAACAGTCATAAATTTCAAAATTAATTACCAAGAGGCTACATGCATTAAATTAAGCAATGATAATAACTTTGTGTCTCATAACAAATTACCTTTGAGTTTTCTGAATCCCTATGGCTTCTTATAAAATATACACACAGATGCTCTCTCTCTTTCTCTCTCTCTCTCTCTCACACACACACACACACTTTAGCATTTAAAGTACAGTGAGTCCCTAAAGACAGATTTGAACAACAGTTCGCTCATAAGTAGTTTCTTCTCTTGTTTTTTATAATTGTAACAATTAGGAAAAAAAACATAAATAAATTTTGTAACCTAGGCATATAAAAAATTAAGAAAAAAGTAGGTATGCCATAGAGGCAGAGTATCAAATAGAACATCTTACGGTGCTGGAAAGCAAACAAAGAAACAAAACAAAAGTGCTACAGGAACGGAAAGAAACAAAATGAAAACAGAAACAGAGGGGTAGGAAGGATGAAGAGGGAGCGGGACTGAGGGAGGAAAGGAAGGAGATAAAGACAGCGACATTTTGTGAGAGACATTGTTGCAACTTGAATGTGTTACCAATAAATAAAATCGGGAAAGATTTGGGGATCTAATAAATAAAGGGAATGAATTATGCCACATTATATTGGTGGGAGACGAAAATCCCATGAGCCCCTCACATTTTTGCACATCTAAATAAATAACATGACAACTGCTGTTTGGAGAATATTTATACAGCAAATTGCTTAGGAAAAGAGACAATTTCTCCTTCCTGGGCAGAAGAGATTCATTTACTGGATAGGGTAAGAAAGATACTATTTTCCCTATGAGAAATGTAGAGAGATTTGCTAGTATATGAGTTGTAAAGTTTGTGGTTTCTTCTTTATTTTATTTAAAAATGTTTATATTGTGATACAAAATTAGAAATGTTTTACTTTAAATAAAACCTTAGAAAAAATTTTTATATATGTATATACCTCTAAAACCATGAAACCATCATCTCAATTTAGATCATTAATATATCTATTATCGTCTAAAAGTTAGCTCCTGTCCCTTTGTATTTCTTTCCTCCAGCCCCTCTGCAATTGTCCCCACTCATAGGTAACTAATGATCTGCTTTCTACTGGTTTAGATTAGTGTGCATTTTCTGGAATTTTATAGAAATTGAAAAAAGTGGTATGTGCCCATTTTCATCTGACTTCTTTCACCCAGCATAATTATTTTGAGACTCATCCATAGTGTTTTACAAAGTAATGTTTTTTATTGCTAAGTGATTTCCACTGAACAGATATATAACAATTTCTATTTAGTTGTTGATGAACAATTATAACTATTGGAAATGAAGCTGTGAAGAATATTCCTAAACAAATATTTGCCTGGTAATATGTGTTTGTTCATTATGAGTAAATGATTAGAAATGGAAAGGGAAGGTTATATGGTAAGTATACATTTACCTTTTCAAGAAACTGATACTTGAGAATCTTTAACAGGATTAAAAATAACTAACAAATACCTGACAATATCCTAAAAGTAGGGAAGGAGCATTTTTTGTTTAGTTTATATAATATTTAAAAGAAGTGAGCCGGGCGTGATGGAGCACGCCTGTAATCCCAGCACTTGGGAGGCTGAGGCAGGAGGATCGCTGTGAGTGAGACCAGCC